GAATTGTAAACTACACCATTTCAGACTTTGTACCTTCAAATACTGAGGCCCGTCCTTTGCGATTTGTTGAGGATCCATATTTTCAACATACACAATTAATATATTGCCCACCGATTTTGCTGTTTAAAGGTGGACAAAAGTATCCTCGCTAAATACAGGAGGTTGAATTGCTCGAGTCAAAGTGGCTTAAGGGAAATCAGCTAAACGTTGGTTGCATTTCTCATTGTATGAAATAAAAATTTCAAAATATCGAGGAGTGCCCGTTTGGAGATTTTTATCGGACCAATAAAAACGAATGATTCGAATATTAATACTAATACTAATAATACTAAATAAAACGAATAAAACGAATAATTCGAATAAAACAAATAATTCGAATAGAACTAATACTAATACTAATACTAATGATTCGAATAAAACGAATGATTCGAATAGAACTAATGCTAATATTAATATTAATATTAATATTAATCCTTCGTAGGCCTTGTATACAGTGATAATAATACTAAATAGTAGTAGCAGAAGTAATTGATATTTTTCTTTTCTTAAGTAATCATATTAGTAGTAATTATAAATTATACTGTAAGTATAATTATTTTTGATTTAGATTATCTTGTTAAAGGAAATAAGACCTTATTTCTAAATTCCAAGATAAATAAAGGTAATGGTAGAAAAGACCCTTAGATTATTATTCATCCTATCCATCAAAGAGGTGATCGATCAGTCTTAGATATTTACAATCCCCTGTATGTACACATTAATATTATTGTTTCCAAATCAATCATATGAATTCGGGGACACTATTTAAATTTTTATTTTTGATCTGATATATGTTTCCCCGAAACTCGTTTCATATGATCATCTAGATCCAGTTCCATTTGATTTATTTCCATCTGATGAAGAAAAAGAAGAAGATAAAGATGAGAATAATTGCAAAGATGAAGAGGATGGTGATAATATTAACAAAGGTAATGAAGGTGATAATAGTGATCATGGTGATGACGATGATCGTTTGTTGGAAAAAAGATCACTGGTAAAAAAGACCAACTCCTGTGGAAAAGGCAGTATTAAGATTAGTGTTGGTCGCAACTATTTTGAAGAGACGAAAGTCAAAATCAAAGGTCAAAACTAGTTTTGATTTATGGCGATACCTTTTGACTTTCGCACTGTTGCGAAACTCTCAGTTTTGGAAACCAACACTAATCATGATATGGATAAGAAAACAAGGTCTTAAAGCATATTTAAAGTGTACTTATGAACGAAAATTCCGAGTAAGATTAGTAATTGTCTTATGCAAAGCATTTTAAAGACAATAAATTTCATGTAGATAAAAGTAGTCGATTGATTTTCAAAATATTGAGATGGCAGAAAATTTCACATTAAGCATTAGTTTTATATCATTATGTCACCTAAGGTGAACCATATGGAGTAATTTATCATAGATGGTGTATTTCACTCATTCATTTATTTGGGAATTGGTAGGGAAGAAAGAACAATAACAGATCGATGTTCATGAAGATTTATTTTTAAAAACTCACAATTCAAATTTTTTAAAAAAATAAAGATAGTAAATATATTTTACAAATAAGGGGGTTTTCTTGGAATTTTCCTTTTTCAAATCATCACCATTCCATATACTCGAGGTTATTTTAAAAAGAGCGTTTACGTAAAAACAAAAGTCTTTTTATCATCACCAGAAGTAGTAGAAGAAATCATTCGGTTTATACGATCACTACCGACAATCCTTTCTAATCGAAGTTGATCATACTTCATAAATAATACTTTACATGTATTGTTGCTAGTAGTATCACTACCACTAGCGGGATTGGTGTCGAGTGAATTTAATAATTCTAAATAAAATTGTGGATGATCTGGTAATGCATAAAATATTAGATGACGTATTCCACGAATAAAATGTCTAAAATTTAAAATAATTAATTAGTATAAAAATAATCAATAATAGTAGTAATAATAATAATAATAATAATAATAATAAAATAATAATAATAATATCACCTCCTAAAGAAATGTGCTCTTTCAGTGTATAGCATAAATTTTTTACGTCCATCCAAAAAAAATGTACGTGATCGATTAACATTTGAAGTTGACGTGTATCTTTTACAAATCAAACAAAAGAATATAAATTAGTATAATATCATTACACATACATGGATTTTTTCAATAGAAACGAGGACAACGTTGAAAATGATGTTTTGAGAAAAAATTGAAGATTAAGGGATTTTGCCATTGTTTTTGAAAGTTCAAGGGAAAATTTTACTATGCAAGGTGGGTATGGTTTCGAAACAAAGACGTTCCACCTAAAGAGTTACATATAAAGGTGGTATATTAATCCAAAATCATGATTTTCGGCGTTGTCCTCGTTTCTATTGAAAAGGCCCCATATGTACATATACGTATTTATAAAGCTCACTCGCAAATGCCAACAAATGAAAAATCATTTTCATTAAAATAATTTCGTATTCTAACATAATCATAATATAATGGAATAAAAATCATTGTATGATCTTGATGTTCACCGCCATTTTTCTTCTTTAGAGATGGCAAAAACTAAATAATAATGGTTATTATTAATATTATGTAATATTATTTGCTTGTATAATATAATCTCATAAATATATCATATTATATATAATCTATACCTTTTTAATGAAATATTTGAATCGTATGTCATCTATTTTCAATAAGGAAGAACAATCAATACGTGTAAATATCTAAAATGACATAAATAAAAAAAAATTAATTATAAAATATAAAATTCATACAAATTTTGGGATCAATAATTTTTCTACTGCTACATTATATAAAAATTTTTTAAAAGAATTTACCTGTTTAACTTGTGGTATAACTTTTACAATAGTACCAGAATAATGTTTCTTTTTGATTTTTAATTTTCCTGATATATTACACATATATTTATTAAACGCGGAGTTAATTTCTGGTGTTAAATATTCTGATATTATGATTGTCTGTCTTAAATATTTTGATCTATAAAGTATAATGTATAAAAAAGATAATAGATATAATATAGAAAACAAACCAATCAGATTCTTCAAATTTAGCAGTATTGTCTGTAAGTTCACAATGCCTATTATTTATATGTTATATGTAAAATCAATCCCTTACGTATACCAATATTTTTAGCTTCATTTGAAGGAATAAATCTAAATATATATACATTTTTGGATTTGCGAATAAGCATATATATATATTTATATATAAATCGTCTCTAAATTTCTAAAAAATTTACAACACTTTACCTTACATCCTAAAGTTAATCTTATACATTAAGCATATTTATAAAAGAACTGGGAGCAGATGGAACAAGTATCAATGGAACTAATAAATTTTTATCAAAGGATTTTTGCATAAAACGATTTGCTGCTCTAGGAATAGAATGTGAGTTTCTATTGTCATGTAAACTTATATCGTGACTTTTTCCTTTTAAAAAGACTTCACCAGCCATTCTTAGGAATTTATCAACCTAATTATTATACCAGATATAAGTATCTTATATCTTTAAACGTTCATGAAGTGTGTAAAAAATCAAACAAATAAAATAACAAATAAATAAATAAATATATATACATACACCATTTATTGCAGCAGATCCTTCATTAGATTCTCCTTCCAAATCAATTATTTCGACTTCCTCATAATATTCTGAATCGCTATCAGAGGAAGAAAAAGAATACATCATATCATATATAGCAGGTTTAAAATTTGGTCAAACCAATCCGAATCTTTCGATATATTATATTTTTTTTGTTTTTTTCTTTTGCTAGATTTTTCTCCATCATCAGTAATTCGACATTTTTCTTTTGACATAAAATGAATAATTATTATTATAAATATATATATATACACACATATATATATCAGAGGTGAATTAATAATGAATATCTTTACCTGCGTGTCTTGAATGAGATTCTCTTTATCATTCAAAGAGGCGGAGTGACCATTTAAGTAGCTTACCCATTTCTGACGGTCAATGTAAATTAAACGACTTGAAAGTTGAATTCTGAATATGTCTTCATTGTAATTGTCAAATTGATATTTTTAGTGGTTAGACCATGATAAAGGATGTCAAGTTTATAATATTCTGCTGAGGCAAAATTCATAAAAGTTGTAGTTATATCTTTTGGAAAAATATTTGATCAAATTGTATAAAAGCGGCATCTTTAATATTAGTAACTGGATTACGGTTTGAATCAAGAAGTTGAATAGGTTTTTTATGTAAATTATATTCACGAAGGAGTTCAAGTGGATTTTGTGTATCTGATTCCATCTTGATGTTTTTTTTTATTAAAAAAGATTTATTTTTTAATTTATTACATCCATGCAATTTCTAAATTAAGAAAACATTACATATTTCTAAATTTATTTATTATTATTTATTTTTTCAAATAACCTAATTCATATAAAAAATCAGTAATCTTTTCTGGTGGACGAGCAATAATAGCCTTGCCTTTATTCCAATCAACTAAAATAGGTCTTTGTAATCTTATAGGTTGTTGTTTGACAATTTCAAGTAATTCTTGTGTTGTGCTAGGAAGAGGAATATTTGGAGATTCAGCAGTATTATTAGTAGCAGTTGCAGATGTATTTCCTTTTCCTTCCTTCTGAGAAATATTGTTATTAACATTTCCACTTGCGTCATCGCTTCTTAGAATACTACTGAAACCATTATTATCTTTTATACCTAAATAATCAACAATGGATCGAAGTTGGTCGTTTGTTAAAGGTTGTTTTTGATAATCCAAGACATCAAGTTTAAAAATATCAGGCTCTTTCTCAAGTGTTTCGTTCAATATTTGTAAAGCTTTGTTTGATTTACTGCATTTTGGGTTATATATTAATGTCAGAATTGGTTGAAAATTTAGACGAAAAGACATTTTTGCTTATATCATCAGAATTATGCGGTCACATTATAATATAATAAATAAATTTTTTTCGCATCACATATGTGACTACGTGATTTAGACGTGTAACCCAAAAACTAAAATTGCTCCTTTCTAAAGAAACCAACCACGCTCTGTAGGATATGACGCAACAAGAAATCAGAAGTGGGGATGGGACACTGATTTTATTAAATTGCATTGGGTTTCTTCATTTTGTTGGAGAGACTGTTAAATATATTTCTATCTTCACGGAAAAGGATCTCTGTCCTTAAGAAGAAAAGGCCACGAAATAAGTGAGTAATTTATTCTCTGTGGTAATAATAATTAATTAATTTAATATCATGATGTTTGCTTCATTTTAATACTCTCACCCCAATCTCCTCGCCTGTATTTGAAACAAATAAATCAGTCTTTACATAACAGGCAAGATAATAACTTAATTCATTACATAGCGAGAATCCATTGAAGTCTTCAAAAATAAAATTTGTGGATTATGGTGGCAGTCATTGAACTTGTCCATATTATCCTAACTTCTTGACTCAAAGATACAAATAAGCCCACTAGTTTTGAGCAGTAGTAGGCTGGTTATTGATACAACTGCCAACGGATTTTGATTTATTTCGCCGTCAGAGATCCATCTATTATAGTGAAAAATCTGACAGAGACATCAATATCATATAATTAAACATATGGAAAACAGAAAATCTCGATACATATGTGTATATAGAAAACTTACTGGCCGCTGTTAAAATTACTTTAAAAAAGTTTTTTCGTGAAAATTACTTTCTTTAACAAAATGACCAGGGAAGAGTACTCCAGAGAGAAGCTGTCCTGCTAAAAATTCACTACACTAAAACTTCAATCTTACAACTCTATAATTAATATTAAAGAAAAATCGGGCACCGCTCGTTGATTTAAAGAAATGTTTTATTATGCTATCCTTGGGCTCATTGAAACATTATAAAGATAACAATTATTACAATTATTACTACAAGTGGAGACGGCTACAATCGTTTATACTTTGAAAAAAAAGTAATAAATGATCATTTTAATCACTTTGATAAAACTAGCATAGTGATTTGTTTATTAATGCACCGCATCAACATTTTATATTTCATCTGCTTCATCGATGGTGTTGTTGATCTCTAGAAGCAAGCAAATTGATACCAAGGCGAGCAGATGCATTAATCGAGCGAAAAGAATTATATAGGATCTTTTGAAGTATTAATATATATGTTAAAAATGATAATAACTATTGAAAAAGATCGGTTGAATGCAAAGCAAAAAACAGTTATCATTATCATAAATGAATTCAAGAAGATAAATTAAAGCTTCGAACAATTCGTTTTCGGGCAGGTTAAGAGGTAAACTAACCTTTTTTGTATACAAACCGAAAACTGACCGAATTTTATTTTTTATTGAGAAAAAATTTTGAGCTTTAAAAATAAGAAAACTGTTGCAAAACCAATATTTCCTAATGATCTAAAGAGTCAAATTTATGTATTTTATTTAATCTCGGACAACGAAAAATATTTTAAATAATTAGTCGTTTAACGCGCTTTGCAAACTTCATAACTAAATAACAAAGTAGCACTAGATTTTTTAAAAATAGTCACAAATTATAATTTGGATTTTACGTTCAATCAAGTAAATCATTAAAGAAGTTCCTTTCATCCAGATCATATATATTAACAACTTCATTGTATAAATTTTTAGATTAATATTACTTAAATTTGGAGATATGTTTTCTTTCCTAAACAAAATCGAATTTTTTGACCTAATTAGCTAATAATTCGATTTTAAAATATGGAGAGGACCTTGCTTTTAAAATTTATCATCTTCAACTTTGATTCATTCAATAAATTTGTTAAATCATTTACTAGTTGACTAATATATTTTGGTTAGAACTTGTAAGGTCATCAAGTAAGAGTCCAAGGATGAAAAACTGTAATTATCAGGCTTTTTTTTTTCATCACAATTTAAATATGCAATTGCAGAATTGTTAAAATCAGATTTTATTGAAAATTGTAATTATCAAGTTTTGATAAATAATTATAGTTAAAAAAATTTTATTCAATTACTATTAATTTATACACTTCACATTCTTCCAACACCATTTTTGAATCATTTCCAATAAAGAAATTATTTTCATAAGCATAGGGATAATGACAACAATAAGGTTTATTATTAATGTTACGTAGTTGTAAATCACGGAAATCTACAGTAACCTCATGAAGTTCCGTACCATATTGAGTAAAAACACTAATAATTGGTGCATGATGATATATTGCCCATCTAGGATATTGGGCTCTACTTAAAATTGGATTATTAACTTTATCATCATCAATTTTAAATATAAAACTTTTATCGGCTACAATACAATAATTTTCATTTCGAGATTTTTCTTTTATGTTCCAACAAGCTGAATTATAACCACCTGCTAATTCGCCTGTTTCTTTAAATTTCATTAAGACTACAGTTTTCTCAATGTTATAACATTTCTTCTCAAAAACTGCCCTTGAAAAGCCATCTCCTGATCCACAATAAATTAATTCAAAATCATATGGCATATTATATTCATTATAATAATCATTATTTTTTTGATCAATCCAACCAGAAATTAAAGTTTTTAACTTTGGATTTAATAATGTCCCTTTCCTGATTCTTGTTCTTGGGCCTTTTTGAAGAAGTAACCTAGGTTGCCATTTTTCATAACTAACATAATATTGAAGAATCTCTTCATATGCTTCTTTATTAAAGGCTTTTCTATATGGTCTAATTTTCTCATCAAAATTATTCGAAGAAATATTATTGAACCTAATTAATGGAATAATATCTTCCAATATATTTTTCAACACTTTGAAATCATCCTTATCCCACTCTGAAAAATTTTTTTTCAGTGTTTTTTCATTTTGTCCTATTCCCCATTGAATAATGCAATCCCAAACTTCAATTTCATCTAATTCTAAATCATCCCTTTCCAATATAGACATAAGCATTGTTTTTTCAACTATTGCAATGTCTTTAGATTTTAAAAATACTTCTGGTTTTTTGCGAATTAATTTATTACAATAATTTTGAAGTAGACTGAACAATTGGTGTTTTGATGAAATTTCATTAACATAAATTAAATTTTGGTGTATCCATTTATTTTTTTCATTAATTAAATAATTTTGTAAATCATCAATTAACTCATTAAAATTTAATTCATCACATGCTTCAAGAAGTTCTAAAATTTCATCTGCATCCAGGCTATCAATATCAATAATTCCATTGTACATATATCTTTTAAAAATATAAATAACAAGAAAAAAAAATTTTAGATAAATTATTATAATTATTAAACAATTGTATTCAACTATTATTAATAAATTAAATTACATTAAAAGAATTTCGAAAACTCTTGGAGAAATATTTTCTTTTTCAAAAAAAATACTACCATTATCAGATTTTTTAATCCAATTATCTGATAAAGCCGCTTTAAAATACAAAGATCTTGCTTTTAAAATATTGGAATGAGCTTTGAATATTTTACTATTTTCTTCTTCTCCAACTTTGACTTCCATATCATAATAATCTGATTCTTTCATTAAACTTGTTAAATCATTTACTAGCTTATTAGTATATTTTAATGGTAAAGCATTTTGGTTAGAGTTTATAAGATTGTTAAATAATGTACTTTCTAATGATGAAAAACTGTTATTATTATTAAACATTTTGAAATTGATTAATATTAAATATGTATGACAATCATTTTGAAATGGTGTATTTACACTATATATGTAATTTTGCAATAATTGCACAAATACAACAAATACAGCACTTGGTCAAAAGTTTTGGTGAATTTTATAATATTCATAGCCTAGGCCCTTGTGAACATCTGTGCAAAATTTCCATGCTTCTAGGTTTGTAGAACTTGAATAAATAAATAAAAGTGAATTTTGATTAAAAAATTTTTATTTATTTTATTACTCAAAACCTATGTAATAACTTAACTACTACCAATCCTACCATCTAATATTTAGTTGGATGTCCTTTTCTCTTTATACAAACTTGAATTCATGCTTTCAATCAAATTCATTAAAACACTTTGAGGAATTTTATTCTGTTCCTCTTTAAATCAGCCTCAAGTTCTTTAGATTGTTAGGATGACTTCTAATGCATGTTTCTAGCACATGCCAAAGATGCTCAATAGGGTTTAGTCAGGAGATTTTCTTGGTAAATTTTGGGTTTGTTTGCCCTTAACCACTTTTGAACATCTTTAGCAGTATGAATTGAAGCATTATCATCTTGAAACAAATACCCTGTCCATTAAAGCCTTTATCAGCAAATTTGTTTACAAGCATTTGAGTATAATAATGCCAGCTCATTTTACCATTAATTTTTGCCAGTGGTCCTAATCCTTTACCAAGGTCAAGCCATAACCTTCTGGCTGATTTCAACTACATTCTCTTCAGTTCATCCTCTTCTTGGGGTAATTCATGATACCACTTCTTCACCATACCAGTCATGAAAATCCTATATTCTTGTACTGTATGTTGTCTCATCTGGGGCAAGCTTTTTTGCAACATATCTGACATAATCTTTGTGATTTAAAATATTCTATATAGTTTGAATCAAGTTTATTGTGGTCTACCATTTTTTTGATAATTCTGATGTATATTCAAATGCAAAATTTTTTCATAATCAAAAGGTTAATAACTATCTTCAGGTAAGCCTCTACTGGTTTACCCCTTCAATTTGCCTTTATCTCACTTGCTCTTACTTTCATTTCATGTCACCTTCTCAAATTTACCTTTGTCTGCTCTACAAAAAATAAAATACAGAATACATACAGAGTACATAATATGGAAAACCAGTATGTTTTGTATGTATTTTGGCTATTTATATTTTATTTTTTATAGGGCAGTCCACATGCTAAACATAGCTGTGTTCCTTTTCCAACAGCTTGTGCAAGGAATGTATTGTTTGCTTCCCTTTATTTGAATTGTAAA